GAAGGACACATTGTTGAGTGTTTATACAGAAGGACACATTGTTGAGTGTTTACACAGGACACATTGTTGAGTGTTTACACAGAAGGACACATAGTTGAGTATTTACACAGAAGGACACATAGTTGAGTATTTACACAGAAGGACACATTGTTGAGTGTTTACACAGGACACATAGTTGAGTGTTTACACAGAAGGACACATTGTTGAGTGTTTACACAGAAGGACACATAGTTGAGTGTTTACACAGAAGGACACATAGTTGAGTGTTTACACAGAAGGACACATTGTTGAGTGTTTACACAGAAGGACACATAGTTGAGTATTTACACAGAAGGACACATAGTTGAGTATTTACACAGAAGGACACATAGTTGAGTGTTTACACAGAAGGACACATTGTTGAGTGTTTACACATTGTTGAGTGTTTACACAGAAGGACCATAGTTGAGTGTTTACACAGGACACATAGTTGAGTATTTACACAGAAGGACACATAGTTGAGTGTTTACACAGAAGGACACATTGTTGAGTGTTTACACAGGACACATTGTTGAGTGTTTACACAGAAGGACACATAGTTGAGTGTTTACACAGGACTCATAGTTGAGTGTTTACACAGGACACATAGTTGAGTATTTACACAGAAGGACACATAGTTGAGTATTTACACAGAAGGACACATAGTTGAGTGTTTACACAGAAGGACACATTGTTGAGTGTTTATACAGAAGGACACATAGTTGAGTGTTTACACAGAAGGACACATAGTTGAGTATTTACACAGAAGGACACATTGTTGAGTGTTTATACAGAAGGACACATTGTTGAGTGTTTACACAGGACACATTGTTGAGTGTTTACACAGAAGGACACATAGTTGAGTATTTACACAGAAGGACACATAGTTGAGTGTTTACACAGGACACATAGTTGAGTGTTTACACAGAAGGACACATAGTTGAGTATTTACACAGAAGGACACATAGTTGAGTATTTACACAGAAGGACACATAGTTGAGTATTTACACAGAAGGACACATAGTTGAGTGTTTACACAGAAGGACACATTGTTGAGTGTTTACACATTGTTGAGTGTTTACACAGAAGGACCATAGTTGAGTGTTTACACAGGACACATAGTTGAGTATTTACACAGAAGGACACATAGTTGAGTGTTTACACAGAAGGACACATTGTTGAGTGTTTACACAGGACACATTGTTGAGTGTTTACACAGAAGGACACATAGTTGAGTGTTTACACAGGACACATAGTTGAGTGTTTACACAGGACACATAGTTGAGTATTTACACAGAAGGACACATAGTTGAGTATTTACACAGAAGGACACATAGTTGAGTGTTTACACAGAAGGACACATTGTTGAGTGTTTATACAGAAGGACACATAGTTGAGTATTTACACAGAAGGACACATAGTTGAGTATTTACACAGAAGGACACATAGTTGAGTGTTTACACAGAAGGACACATAGTTGAGTGTTTACACAGAAGGACACATAGTTGAGTATTTACACAGAAGGACACATAGTTGAGTATTTACACAGAAGGACACATAGTTGAGTGTTTACACAGGACACATAGTTGAGTGTTTACACAGGACACATTGTTGAGTGTTTACACAGAAGGACACATAGTTGAGTATTTACACAGAAGGACACATTGTTGAGTGTTTATACAGAAGGACACATAGTTGAGTGTTTACACAGAAGGACACATAGTTGAGTGTTTACACAGAAGGACACATAGTTGAGTGTTTACACAGAAGGACACATTGTTGAGTGTTTACACAGAAGGACACATAGTTGAGTATTTACACAGAAGGACACATTGTTGAGTGTTTATACAGAAGGACACATTGTTGAGTGTTTACACAGGACACATTGTTGAGTGTTTACACAGAAGGACACATAGTTGAGTATTTACACAGAAGGACACATTGTTGAGTGTTTATACAGAAGGACACATTGTTGAGTGTTTATACAGAAGGACACATAGTTGAGTGTTTACACAGAAGGACACATTGTTGAGTGTTTACACAGAAGGACACATAGTTGAGTATTTACACAGAAGGACACATTGTTGAGTGTTTATACAGAAGGACACATTGTTGAGTGTTTACACAGGACACATTGTTGAGTGTTTACACAGAAGGACACATAGTTGAGTATTTACACAGAAGGACACATAGTTGAGTATTTACACAGAAGGACACATAGTTGAGTATTTACACAGAAGGACACATAGTTGAGTATTTACACAGAAGGACACATAGTTGAGTGTTTACACAGGACACATAGTTGAGTGTTTACACAGGACACATTGTTGAGTGTTTACACAGAAGGACACATAGTTGAGTATTTACACAGAAGGACACATAGTTGAGTGTTTACACAGGACACATAGTTGAGTGTTTACACAAGACACATTGTTGAGTGTTTATACAGAAGGACACATTGTTGAGTGTTTACACAGAAGGACACATAGTTGAGTGTTTACACAGGACACATAGTTGAGTGTTTACACAGGACACATTGTTGAGTGTTTATACAGAAGGACACATTGTTGAGTGTTTATACAGAAGGACACATAGTTGAGTGTTTACACAGAAGGACACATTGTTGAGTGTTTATACAGAAGGACACATAGTTGAGTGTTTACACAGAAGGACACATAGTTGAGTGTTTACACAGGACACATAGTTGAGTGTTTACACAGAAGGACACATAGTTGAGTGTTTACACAGAAGGACACATAGTTGAGTATTTACACAGAAGGACACATTGTTGAGTGTTTACACAGGACACATAGTTGAGTGTTTACACAGAAGGACACATAGTTGAGTATTTACACAGAAGGACACATTGTTGAGTGTTTACACATTGTTGAGTGTTTACACAGGACAAATAGTTGAGTGTTTACACAGAAGGACACATTGTTGAGTGTTTACACATTGTTGAGTGTTTACACAGGACACATAGTTGACTGTTTACACAGAAGGACACATAGTTGAGTGTTTACACAGAAGGACACATAGTTGAGTGTTTACACAGAAGGACACATAGTTGAGCGTTTACACAGAAGGACACATTGTTGAGTGTTTACACATTGTTGAGTGTTTACACAGGACACATAGTTGAGTGTTTACACAGAAGGACACATAGTTGAGTGTTTACACAGAAGGACACATAGTTGAGTGTTTACACAGAAGGACACATAGTTGAGTATTTACACAGAAGGACACATAGTTGAGTGTTTACACAGAAGGACACATTGTTGAGTGTTTACACAGGACACATTGTTGAGTGTTTACACATTGTTGAGTGTTTATACAGAAGGACACATTGTTGAGTATTTACACAGAAGGACACATAGTTGAGTGTTTACACAGAAGGACACCTAGTTGAGTATTTACACAGAAGGACACATTGTTGAGTATTTACACAGAAGGACACATTGTTGAGTGTTTACACAGGACACATAGTTGAGTGTTTACACAGAAGGACACATTGTTGAGTGTTTACACAGGACACATAGTTGAGTGTTTACACAGAAGGACACATAGTTGAGTATTTACACAGAAGGACACATTGTTGAGTGTTTACACATTGTTGAGTGTTTACACAGAAGGACCATAGTTGAGTGTTTACACAGGACACATAGTTGAGTATTTACACAGAAGGACACATAGTTGAGTATTTACACAGAAGGACACATTGTTGAGTGTTTACACAGGACACATTGTTGAGTGTTTACACATTGTTGAGTGTTTACACAGAAGGACACATTGTTGAGTGTTTACACATTGTTGAGTGTTTACACAGAAGGACCATAGTTGAGTGTTTACACAGGACACATTGTTGAGTGTTTACACATAGTTGAGTATTTACACAGAAGGACACATTGTTGAGTGTTTACACATTGTTGAGTGTTTACACAGAAGGACACATTGTTGAGTGTTTACACATTGTTGAGTGTTTACACAGAAGGACACATTGTTGAGTGTTTACACAGGACACATAGTTGAGTGTTTACACAGAAGGACACATAGTTGAGTATTTACACAGAAGGACACATTGTTGAGTGTTTACACAGGACACATTGTTGAGTGTTTACACATAGTTGAGTATTTACACAGAAGGACACATTGTTGAGTGTTTACACATTGTTGAGTGTTTACACAGAAGGACCATAGTTGAGTGTTTACACAGGACACATAGTTGAGTGTTTACACAGAAGGACACATAGTTGAGTATTTACACAGAAGGACACATTGTTGAGTGTTTACACAGGACACATTGTTGAGTGTTTACACATTGTTGAGTGTTTATACAGAAGGACACATTGTTGAGTATTTACACAGAAGGACACATAGTTGAGTGTTTACACAGGACACATAGTTGAGTGTTTACACAGAAGGACACATAGTTGAGTATTTACACAGAAGGACACATTGTTGAGTATTTACACAGAAGGACACATTGTTGAGTGTTTACACAGGACACATAGTTGAGTGTTTACACAGAAGGACACCTTGTTGAGTGTTTACACAGGACACATAGTTGAGTGTTTACACAGAAGGACACATAGTTGAGTATTTACACAGAAGGACACATTGTTGAGTGTTTACACATTGTTGAGTGTTTACACAGAAGGACCATAGTTGAGTGTTTACACAGGACACATAGTTGAGTGTTTACACAGAAGGACACATTGTTGAGTGTTTACACAGGACACATAGTTGAGTGTTTACACAGAAGGACACATTGTTGAGTGTTTACACAGGACACATAGTTGAGTGTTTACACAGAAGGACACATTGTTGAGTGTTTACACAGGACACATAGTTGAGTGTTTACACAGAAGGACACATAGTTGAGTATTTACACAGAAGGACACATAGTTGAGTGTTTACACAGGACACATAGTTGAGTGTTTACACACATTGAGGACACATAGTTGATTTCAAGGGGTACATACTTTCCTCTGTGATGTCGTATGGCTGACCTCTTGGGTTGACAGAACCATGGCCACTGAAAACAGGATTTCCTTTGTAAGGTCCTACATCATACCGTGCATTCCATGACACAGACTATTTGACAAACCACGCCCCTGTACATGATGATGTTACACTCAGTAGCCAGCCCCGGGGTTCCATGACACAGACTATTTGACAAACCACGCCCCTGTACATGATGATGTTACACTCAGTAGCCAGCCCCGGGGTTCCATGACACAGACTATTTGACAAACCACGCCCCTGTACATGATGATGTTACACTCAGTAGCCAGCCCCGGGGTTCCATGACACAGACTATTTGACAAACCACGCCCCTGTACATGATGATGTTACACTCAGTAGCCAGCCCCGGGGTTCCATGGCACAGACTATTTGACAAACCACGCCCCTGTACATGATGATGTTACACTCAGTAGCCAGCCCCGGGGTTCCATGACACAGACTATTTGACAAACCACGCCCCTGTACATGATGATGTTACACTCAGTAGCCAGCCCCGGGGTTCCATGACACAGACTATTTGACAAACCACGCCCCTGTACATGATGATGTTACACTCAGTAGCCAGCCCCGGGGTTCCATGGCACAGACTATTTGACAAACCACGCCCCTGTACATGATGATGTTACACTCAGTAGCCAGCCCCGGGGTTCCATGACACAGACTATTTGACAAACCACGCCCCTGTACATGATGATGTTACACTCAGTAGCCAGCCCCGGGGTTCCATGACACAGACTATTTGACAAACCACGCCCCTGTACATGATGATGTTACACTCAGTAGCCAGCCCCGGGGTTCCATGACACAGACTATTTGACAAACCACGCCCCTGTACATGATGATGTTACACTCAGTAGCCAGCCCCGGGGTTCCATGGCACAGACTATTTGACAAACCACGCCCCTGTACATGATGATGTTACACTCAGTAGCCAGCCCCGGGGTTCCATGGCACAGACTATTTGACAAACCACGCCCCTGTACATGATGATGTTACACTCAGTAGCCAGCCCCGGGGTTTCATGGCACAGACTATTTGACAAACCACGCCCCTGTACATGATGATGTTACACTCAGTAGCCAGCCCCGGGGTTCCATGGCACAGACTATTTGACAAACCACGCCCCTTTACATGATGATGTCAGACTCAGTAGCCAGATGAATTACGTACTTTAAATGTTTAACTATTCGGCTTCCTTACCATAAAGAAGAGGTTATGTTCATAAGCATTTCCAAGTTAACCTTTCTCAAGCCTTATCGTGTGACTTACTCTGGCAGTCGGAACCCTCTTCCATGGAAGAGATCCTTTGCATTCTGAGGCAAGACCAGGGACTTTAACTTCTGGATCTCTCTTGCAATGTCAAATCTGGAATGTCAAATCTACATGTTTATAACCTAATCGATAATACCACATACATATGGATGCATATACAAAAAAGATACATTTTATGTTTAAAACATGCATGGAAACCCATCGCTCATCTTGCACTCTAAATGTTCAAACATCATTTTCAGCAGCTTGGTGATGGTTCGCGAAAAGTCAAGGTATTACATAGCATGTAAAGTTGTGAACTTGGACAACAAAAGTATGTACTAGGTCTCTTGCATATCACTGAGTGAAGGGAGAAATATTTTCTCAAGAAATTGTGGAAGACACATGTACTAACAATTTATGTGATCAACCGCACATCATAACATAACTTTTAGAATAAAAGACTGAAATCACTGAAATTCATTTTGCTATTTGTAACACTGATCATGTTGATGGGTGCGGATGGTGTACAGAAAGATTGTATGTCTGGTTGATGGCTGTTTGTCGCCACTTGTCATCCCTCAGTGACGACCAGGAAGACAGATATTACTGTGGCCTTATTGTTTAAAAGACAAATTCAAGGGTACTTACCAACTACACCTTTTCATCTCATTAATTAAAAAGAATATTTCTACTAATTTTCAGTCTGTATAATGATGATGGTATAACAGTGTCGTAAACCTCACATGATTTACATTTCTCTGGCTGTACCATGTTTGCCTTGGCAAAGATCAGATGATTATAACAGATAAAGCTTATTTTGATTTCATTAGACCTTTGCCTTTTATGTGTCCATACTCTAAAATGATGAGTTTTCAAATTCTCTCACTAACCAAATCAATAATCATATTTTTCCCCTATACTTGAACATCAATAGATAGCTACATTGCACAATGTCATCATATTCATAACTGGCTTTTGAGTAGTCTTATCAGTATAACTTATTGTATTTAAACTTAGTGAAACATAAACATTTTTTACATTTGTATATTTATCCTGTATTACTCCTTAAAGGGGAAGTGTACACGCAAAAATCACTTTCTTTCTTTTTCTAAACAAAACGCAATTTTAGAATTAATTAGTATCTGTGTTTGAAAATATACACTCATTTTTTTCAGAGTGAACGTAGGAAGCTCACAATAGTGTGAAAATGATATGCCGTTATGAGGCCTTCGTTTTTCGAGCTAAACAGGCCTGAGTTATCCCCCTTAGATTATGACGTAATTGGTGCCAATTCAACTGGGTCCCTGTCTATTCTCAACGCAAAAGATATCAAGTACCAGTTTGCGGTAAAACAACATGGCCTACGACACACTCCGGCGCAGTGGTGACTCAGCATAACACTATGTTGGCTGGCATCTGAGACGCTAGAATCACACACCTGGACCTACACCACGTGAAGCGGCTCTAACAAAGCATGATGACGTCATAATGTTTATCAATTGGCACCAATGACGTCATATTGCAAGGGGCATAAGCCATGGTGTTTTTGTTGTGGAAATAGAACACTTGGTAAATGTGAAAAATGTAAATAGTTTTAATGCGAAAAATATGTTAATTAATTGTGATATTTTTATATTTTTGTCTATGACACTTCTATGTTAACACTTTTAATGTGGAAAAAGTACAAGAAAAATAGGTTCATTTCCGTGTGAACTTGCCCTTTAATGCATCTACTGCTTACCATATGACAGAAACAGAGCAGTGCGATGGTCCTAGGCTGAAGAAGAAAAGTTGTTCTCAACAAGTGTTCTGTCTGAAGACCAACCTTGCACACCTGCCAAATGATCAACAGTGAGTGAGTGAGTGAGTGAGTTTGGTTTTACGCCACTTTTAGCAATATTCCAGCAATATCACGGCGGGGGACACCAGAAATGGGCTTCACACATTGTACCAATGTCGGGATTCAAACCCGGTCTTCGGCGTGACGAGCGAACGCTTTAACCACTGATCAACAGAAGTGACGTCACGTATCTTCACAATACTGCTTGTCACTCGTAATTGTTTTCTAGGGAGGCAGGTCTGTAACGGGTTTGGCCTTTAGATGCACTAATGCAGGATAAGTATACAAACATAAGAAATATTTAGATCTCACGAAATGTTTTACTTATCCTGCATTACTTCTTGATGCATCTGTAATAGACAGTACGGCGATGGATATACATGTACCTTGAATTCAGATGTAATCCTCAATATAGATAAACCCTCATAAGACACACCTATCAAGAAAACTGTACGGCGTGTCAACAGCGCCGATCAGTAATTACTCGCTCAATACTGTCTCCTGAAAGAATAATGCGAGTTGAGGAGAAAAACCAACTCCTCGCCGGCCACCAGTGCACGACCAAAATCAGAGTGAGGTTCTTGGCTGCTTTTATTTTGTGTATCACCCTGGGAAGTAGTATAGGAGGCCGAAAAGGGTATGCTATTAGCCCTTCCCAGTGGATGCTGAATACATCTTCTGCCCAAGCCTGCGGATCCAGGTCATCAGCTGGTGGTTCTGGTGTGTTGCGAAGAGGTCAATATTGGTTTGATCGAACCACTGATGCACCAGTTGAAGAGCCTCTGTATGGAGTTACCACACTGTGGGGGCCACCCTGTCTGGTCTGGATAATGCCTCCGACATCTGGGGATATGCTGGACCAGAAATTATAGTCCCAAGTCGATCCACCAGATGAAAGAACCGAAATGTCTGTTGAAGCAGGGAGTCAGAGTGAGTTGTTCCTTGGTTGTGCAGGCACCAAACTACCGTGCTGTTGTTGATGGAGATTGTGAGTTGAGTGCCGATGTGATATTGCCAGAATGAGTGCCTCCAACTCGAGGTTGTTGATGTGCCAAGTATGTTGTGCACCTGACCACAGCAGTGAGGCTTTCCAAGTCCTGTAGATGTGCACCCCAGGCTGTAGGGAAGCATCTATGGACAGGTGTAGTGTTGGGGTTAGTCTGGATAAGGAGACGCCAATTGAGACGTGTCCTAAGGTGAGATGTTAGAGTGATGGCTATATACGGGTCCTGACATCTGATGTATGGTGCAAGGAACTGCTGTATCGGGTGTAGGTGCAGACAACCCCTGCATGTCAAATCCTGGGCTGATGTGAGCAACAACACCTGACAGTGGTGAAAAATGTGCAGGATTGTAGAAAGATGGGAGAATAAAAGCCCGGTGTTAACGCTTGGGCGTGTACAATGTCTATGGTTCTCTTTCCCAGCAAAATGTCTACCAGGTATGTTGGATCCCAGCAGCTGATATTGCTCACCTGGGTAGAGCCAGGATGGTGGAGGCATGGTCAACGGTGGGTCTACCTCTATGTCCAGGTGGTAGCTGTAGTGTAGAACATTTAGTATGAAAGCAGCCACAACACCAATCCTGTTCTGCAAAAAAAAAACCAGCCTCCCACCTACAGGGATGTCGACAATTGGGGGTGGGAGATCCTAGTCGTGATTGTCCCAGGGATCATTGCTTTCCCCTCTTATCCCCGCTCCTGTCCTGGGAATTACCACAGTGAGACTGATAAGGAGCCCTGTGTTCTGCCTCTTTGAACTTTGACCCTGATCTTTGAGGAGGAGCGTCTCGGATGAAAGTTCCCTGACCTGCTAGCTCGCTGTGAGAAACATACGCCACGCTTTAAGTGCAGTCTTGTCATGAGCACAGAATTTGGCCAAGCTGGCGGATAGCTGTAATCTCCGCCAAGGCTGCCCTGAAGTGATTTCTCATGTGGTCTATCTGCCGTTGTTGAAAGTCAACCACTGTCTGAAGGTGGTCTAGACGATTAGCATTAGTCTTAGTTAAGTGTTGCTCCATGGCCAGGGATGAAGATGCAAAAGCTGATAAGGGTTTGAGTGATCATCGGACCTCGGTGTCAATGAAGGTGAACCTAACATCTTTGATCTTAAGCATAGTCGGTGTGGATGAGCCGACACCAACACCAATATATATACCAAAGTTTAAATCGGAAAAACAGAGTTTATTGTGTTAAAATAACAAGCATGAATGCTCTTGTAAGGCCACTAGCGGCTAAAGGTATTGATAATATATACAATAAAATGCCTAGCCGGCAATTGAAAATAGTCACGACTGCCTCACGTTTTATGAAAAGAGACACGTATAGAAGATTCAAAATGGTGGGAAAACAACAAGCCATGTCAATGAAAAAGACAAGAGTGTTCCACATGGAATAAATACATATTATTACACAAAAACGGGCATAATGATAAGATAAATGTATACTCCACGTGGAAGCAAAGTGCAAACCACAAATTAAAGCGAAAAATGAAAGGAAGACACAACATGTCTGTCTGACAAGCAGGAATGTGAAGATATGTGACTTCACTTCTGTTCATCATGTGGCAGCTGTGCGAGGTTGGTCTTCAGACAGAAGCCTTTTTGAGAACAACTTTTCTTCTTCAGCCTAGAACCATCGCACAGCTCTGTTTCTGTCATAAGGTACACAGTAGATGCATTAAGGAGTAATGCAGAATAAGTAAGAAATGGATAGCATATTAACAAGTAGCATTTAGACATCTCTACAGAACGCAGTACAATTTACACTTGCACTCATGTCATGACAAAAGTACTTGATCATAAACATTTTACTTCAATCAATTTTACTGAAGAATGTCTAATAAATAGACTTAGTACTACAGTTGTCTTGTATTGTTGAATGAGAATGAGTATAGCAGGATACTGCATGGGTTGTAAAGGAACCACCGGTACCTGGTCAACTGCAAATATTCAAGGTAGACACAATTTTATGGATAACAACTTCTTTAATACTGTGAAAAGTGACGTTTCTATACAAAGGATCTATACCGAAATGTCACTTTCACAGTATTAAAGAAGTTGTTATCCATAAAATTGTGTCCACCTTGTCATCCGTCAACTTCTAAGTAATGCCTATCAAACAATGCAAATATTAAATTCCGCTGTTTATGTATCATACCTATTTTCTGGAGAAGCGGGTGTGATTCAGATTAATAATTGGGACAAATCTCTAATTTACTGCTATATTAAGAGCATGAGCATCAGAATTTTGTAAAACATTCATTAACACCTGTGATGACACACAGCACTTCATGAGGGACACATTATTAAGGGGCAGAACATTAATGGTGTGTATATTAATTGCAACTGACTGATTCCTAGATACAAGGTTGATTTGCGCATGGTATATTTTCTACTTATATTATCAGAAATTAATCAGAAATGAAAATTTGATATGTAAATAACATCAAACAATGTGTTCTTTAATTATCAATAGAAGCATGTAAAATAATTACAGATCAGTGATAAAGGCCTGTCAAAGGAAGTCAGCGCTGCAGATGTACCAATCTCTCAGACATTGTTACATTGAAGTCCAGGCAAATGGTAATCCAAACACAGAGGCTGATAAATAAGGAGAGTTTCCAGTTTTCCTTGATATTACCCCAGACAGAACGCCTCCACCCTTGTTTCAGGACATAGAAAAGGACGCGACAACAGACAGTTTTTCATGGGAGGTTTTCATGTTACCTTCAAACGTTTCAGTTTATGGTTTAGTTGCAGGCACTACAATCACTACAAACATGTTTAGGATATTCAGTAGTAAACAATTAACTGATGATGCAACAGTGAACAATGTTTGCTTTGCTCTGTCTCTTCATCTCACAAATTACTGCAGCGCACACTGAACCAGGAGCCAATGGGGAAGCAACACTTCCAAAGATCAGTTATTGGCTTTGAGCCAAAAAGATCGCCCACTAAATAAAGAGAAAAATTCTGGACACATTAATATAATACGTGTCATTTCTCAAAACCTAATTAGGTTTTGAGAAATGACATGTATTATATTAATATATATATATAAGATGCATGGTTACCTCTCTTCCATTTCAATCTTCTTGCCACCCATGACAAGGTCAAGCTGGGCTCGGTGAGGCAGCACCTCTCGTCGCCGCTTCACTCCACGCAGCTTCTCCATGTAGAGCAACTCCGCCAATAGACGATCTCGCTGGCTCATCCTGCACAGTCACACACACAGTCACACACACAGTACAGTGCTGGAACTGGGAGTTGTGTTGTATTGGCCCACTTGCACAAAGCGAACTTAGCACTACGATGTTCGTAACACCTATACTCTAACATAGACTTAAGATTGTCGTAGCACTAAGATTTGTGCAAATGGGGCCCCGGCGATCAGTTATTACCAGTCTAATGAATGAAGCAAGAGACCTTGCACTGTCATTCTGCTGGTGTTGCTAACCTGCACGGTCATGATCGTAATTACATTTGGTTGACAAATGCATGGAATACTGACAAGAATTCCCCTCAAGATGGGGTTATCACAATAGGTCACTCAACAAACATTTACAAAATATTATATGTCAATTACTGTTTTGACTTTTAAAATTTATATTTTTCTATCTGTTAGGTTTATTCCCAGACTGTAATGAGGCCAATTTCCACAACATCAAAGTCATGAAAATCAAAACAACATATTCCTAAATAGTTTTGTTAAATCATTTCATCAGCACAAATGTTATCAAATAGAAAGATTTGTTACATTGATCCTAAAGGTCAAATTGTGAATATTATAATTCTTCACCAAACCATGAATATTGACATACCCATCCAGAGGTCGAAACGAGGCCCACTGAAAGAAGAAACAGTGAGTCAGGAAACATGTACCTGATGGAGATGCAAGCTGACACTGACCGCTCACTATTCATTTTACATATAATAAATCAATACATAAAGAGCATGTGCATATCAGAACAACTGCTGCCTCTAAAATGACTCCATCTATTTCATGAGTGCATCTACAAAACAAGCATGTTCTCTTCAGGGACTTACCTAAATCTGAAGCGAATGTAAAATTTCACAAACCGTAATTTCCCAGTTCATGCTAATATAGTAGTAATTAATGTTATGATTTTGTAGAGGTGAGGATTCAATGCTTAATTTTTTTAATTTTACATGACATTTAATATTTAATACTTATCCTGTCTCACACTATGCATTATGTCTCTTTTTCGAACAGAACGTGGCAACACTGCAAAGACAACCATTTGCAAAACTTCAACCAACTCGCACATGACCTGGCCCCAAGCCTTCATTTTTGTGTTCTGAAGCTGGAGTACAGTCTAGACGAGTCTATCCTGAGTGTGGTAAGCCAGGCAGGCAATATATCCTCTGAGACAGGATAGGTATGAAAATAAATTTAATGTAAAAATGAACACCTTTTTACATATCCTGTCTCACGCTATTGCAGGGAGGTCCATTATTCCCCAAGCAGCTGACTGCAGGCACTTTGACCCCTCGTGTGAGGTAAAACAACAAACCAAACAACCAACGTATTCAGTACATCAATATCTTTAATAACTATGTACCACCCTGATGTATTATGTTCCTAACAATCAAATCCAGGCTCATTATCGAGGTCAGATTGTTTTTAAACTGTTCAAGGAAGTGCAAAACTTGCTTGTTTCTTTCCGAGAACTAGAATGATTAGACCGATAACATTCAAATTCAACATGTTATTCACCAAAACTGCATTTCAAATCCTCCAGATTCAATACCGTTTGAATATATGACACTTATTAGGATAGCAACTTCTTGTATTCTTTCTCACAACATTTCAGAGCTACTTCCCCTTCAAGTGAATGCAGCATTAACCTGATGAAGGAGCAAGTAGAAGCTCTGAAACAAATTGAGAATATACAAATGACTGACTTGTGGCATTATGACAATCCACTCAACATATTCCGCTGTCTAAGCAGCAACACTTGCAGCCCACCTGGTATCTATCTGTGTGTAGAATGACCCCGCGTCGCCCGGTGACGTTATACTCCATTCCTCCAAATGTGTCCAAATGACGCTTCGGAACAGCTATTTTCTTCAACACCGTGGATGACCTTGAAGCAAGAAGGTAATGGCAGCCCCACAGATATACAAGTAGGTGAGAGATGGATATTAGCAATAAACTGCCATGTCAGGGAACTTTGTGAGAGGTATGATGAGCATATGCTCAGACTCCCATATCAATAGAGCATTGACTTCTGTACATGTTCAAACCAATCATCCTATACCATGATGAAACCCTGTCCAATCAGGCATTATTATGAGTTGAAATGATGACCATGGACAAAATCCTAAAATCAAAGGTCAAAGCAAATGGCCAAATCTTAATAAAACATTTATGTTAAGAAAAGTACACATAAGCTCTTAGGAACATACATAAAGTTGTGAGGTTAGAAGGAAACACATCTAAGAACTTACATGAAGCTCTGAGGTAAAAAGGGAACAGCTTCAGGATTCACATCCAAGTCTATGTCATCCTGGGCCTTGCTTCGTGTGTCCAGGGGCTGAATCTGGAGGAGAAGGGACACTGCATGAGGGATACAGACAGTTGAATGGGGGACACTGCATGAGGGATACAGACAGTTGAATGGAGGACACTGCGTGAGGGATACAGACAGTTGAATGGGGGACACTGCATGAGGGATACAGACAGTTGAATGGGGGACACTGCATGAGGGATACAGACAGTTGAATGGGGGACACTGCATGAGGGATACAGACAGTTGAATGGGGGACACTGCGTGAGGGATACAGACAGTTGAATGGGGGACACTGCGTGAGGGATACAGACAGTTGAATGGGGGACATGAACGGTGAGGGATACAGACAGTTGAATGGGGGACACTGCGTGAGGGATACAGACAGTTGAATGGGGGACATGAACAGTGAGGGATACAGACAGTTGAATGGGGGACACTGCGTGAGGGATACAGACAGTTGAATGGGGGACATGAACGGTGAGGGATACAGTCAGTCGAACGGGGGACATGAACAGTGAGGGATACAGACAGTTGAATGGGGAACATGAACAGTGAGGGATACAGACAGTTGAATGGGGGACATGAACGGTGAGGGATACAGACAGTTGAACGGGGGACATGAACAGTGAGGGATACAGACAGTTGAATGGGGGACATGAACAGTGAGGGATACAGACAGTTGAACAGGGGACATGAACGGTGAGGGATACAGACAGTTGAATGGGGGACATGAACAGTGAGGGATACAGACAGTTGAATGGGGGACATGAACGGTGAGGGATACAGACAGTTGAATGGGGGACATGAACGGTGAGGGATACAGACAGTTGAATGGGGGACATGAACAGTGAGGGATACAGACAGTTGAATGGGGAACATGAACGGTGAGGGATACAGACAGTTGAATGGGGGACATGAACGGTGAGGGATACAGGCAGTTGAATGGGGAACATGAACGGTGAGGGATACAGACAGTTGAATGGGGGACATGAACGGTGAGGGATACAGACAGTTGAGTAGGGAACATGAACAGTGAGGGATACAGACAGTTGAGTAGGGAACATGAACAGTGAGGGATACAGACAGTTGAATGGGGAACATGAACAGTGAGGGATACAGACAGTTGAATGGGGGACATGAACGGTGAGGGATACAGACAGTTGAATTGGGGACATGAACAGTGAGGGATACAGACAGTTGAATGGGGAACATGAACGGTGAGGGATACAGACAGTTGAATGGGGGACATGAACAGTGAGGGATACAGACAGTTGAATGGGGAACATGAACGGTGAGGGATACAGACAGCTGAATGGGGGACATGAACAGTGAGGGATACAGACAGTTGAATGGGGAACATAAACGGTGAGGGATACAGACAGTTGAATGGGAGACATGAACGGTGAGGGATACAGGCAGTTGAATGGGGAACATGAACGGTGAGGGATACAGACAGTTGAATGGGGAACATGAACGGTGAGGGATACAGACAGTTGAATGGGGAACATGAACGCTGAGGGATACAGACAGTTGATTGGGGAACATGAACGGTGAGGGATACAGACAGTTGAATGGGGAACATGAACAGTGAGGGATACAGACAGTTGAGTAGGGAACATGAACAGTGAGGGATACAGACAGTTGAATGGGGAACATGAACGGTGAGGGATACAGACAGTTTAATGGGGAACATGAACGGTGAGGGATACAGACAGTTGAATGGGGGACATGAACAGTGAGGGATACAGACAGTTGAATGGGGGACATGAACAGTGAGGGATACAGACAGTTGAGTAGGGAACATGAACAGTGAGGGATACAGGCAGTTGAATGGGGAACATGAATGGTGAGGGATACAGACAGTTGAATGGGGGACATGAACGGTGAGGGATACAGACAGTTGAGTAGGGAACATGAACAGTGAGGGATACAGACAGTTGAATGGGGAACATGAACAGTGAGGGATACAGACAGTTGAATGGGGAACATGAACAGTGAGGGATACAGACAGTTGAATGGGGGACATGAACGGTGAGGGATACAGACAGTTGAATGGGGGACATGAACGTTGAGGGATACAGACAGTTGAGTAGGGGACATGAACAGTGAGGGATACAGACAGTTGAATGGGGGACATGAACGGTGAGGGATACAGACAGTTGAATGGGGAACATGAACAGTGAGGGATACAGACAGTTGAATGGGGGACATGAACGGTGAGGGATACAGACAGTTGAACGGGGGACATGAACGGTGAGGGATACAGACAGTTGAACGGGGGACATGAACAGTGACGGATACAGACAGTTGAATGGGGGACATGAACGTTGAGGGATACAGACAGTTGAGTAGGGGACATGAACAGTGAGGGATACAGGCAGTTGAACAGGGGACATGAACAGTGAGGGATACAGACAGTTGAATGGGGGACATGAAAGGTGAGGGATACAGACAGTTGAACAGGGGACTTGAACAGTGAGGGATACAGACAGTTGAACGGGGGACATGAACGGTGAGGGATACAGACAGTTGAATGGGGGACATGAACATCTATCATGAACATGCAGTCCATTCCAAAAATGTCACTCACAAAAGATTTGGCAAACCATCCAAGCAGTATTTATAGACATTGCAGCAATATTTCTGGTCTACTGCAAACCGATCCCATGTACTAAGGCTACATCATCAACAATATAGTGCCTTACTTACAAAACACTTGCTAAGGGTGAACCTTATTACTTTGACCATACTACGTTTCTGGGAAAACTGGACACAAAACAGAAATGAAATAATTATTGGGGTTTGATTGAATATAGTCATATAATCAGACTCCTATTCCTGAGCAAACATCGCCATGGTCCATGTACTAGAACAAGCTCAGGCCAACTTCTCATGGTCTACACCGGTATGAATAACCCCACTGAAAATCTCCTTATGAGAGGGTTGTAAATATACCTGTAGCCTCTATAGAATTAAAACCATTTCAAAGTGAGTACAGAGATAAAAACTGTCAGAAAATGTTTTCAAAATGGATAAATGAATGAACAGTTAAAGATAAGATCATCTTCATGCACATTTCAATACACTTTCATATTCATCCTGAATGAAATATACTAGGAATGTCTTGTTACGTTGTGGTCTTCATATACCCTTCATATCTGTTGATGTCAATGAAACCAACAGCTATGTTCTGGCCCTCCAACATGGTGTTTGTGACACTCTAGCCCTTAGCCACCAAGAACAGGTTCTGTTTAAATGCCTCACAGATGACTCCATAAGAACATACTACTAGAAAAAAACCTACAGTCATACTGAATTATTTGACTGGTGTCAATACCATCTTTTACATGTTATTATGAAAGCCATATCACTGTAAGTATAAAAAATATCACTATTAGCATGATATACACATAATAAAATGCGACCAACAAAAAAACTGGCCAGACTCAATGGAGAAATCCTTTGCTCCACCACTCTTGTAACTACGTCAACAAACAGGTCTTAACAAGAAGGCAATCTATACCAAAATATTACAAATATAATATTAAAATACCTCTGGAGTTTTAAGTTTTGTTCCCTCCAACACAAACTGTGTTATGGCTGGCATAGCAACCGTATGGGGACGTCTTGGAGTGTCAGCATCGATATTTTGGAAACTATAACGTATCCGGACGAGCTCGATTGACGATTTGCTTCGTCCTTTCTTACGGAGCGTTGGCATTAAACAAAGCATGTTGTCAGTCAAGATGCTCCGGTTGATAGGGCAGACGTGATTGTCAATAGATATTCCGAAATGTGATCCCACTGCGGTCCTATTTGAGCAGTGGGCTGTGACTTGGATTACACTCCTCCCTGCCGTTACAAGAATGCACACCTTGGGGACACTTAACACTTTATGTCCCATCAACACAGACCTGTTACTACACTATGCTATACAATCGAGATAATCTAAATGCTCTTTGAAATAAATCACAACACATGGGGTAAATCTTTCATTTGTAAATTTGAGATGAAATTAGGCCTATTATTTCAACAGATTATTTACACCACTGCATTCTGACAGTACATATTTCCTGCTGGGTTACACTGTAAACAAATCACATCTCCATGTTCTTGGCTGTAAGCATGATCAATGATACATTTATTCAAATTTATTTGAAATACAGTTGAAAGATATCACGTCACAGTATAAATGTGGGCTGATAAGGCTTGGTGGGTTAAAGCAGTTTGCCGTACGTTGTCAAATGACAGAATCAGTGTTGTACAGTGATTTGAATGACTTGTCACACATCGAACAGATAAGTATTAAAACACTGGGTGGTAGCGGTAAGTATTTACATGATAAATTTACTGAGGCAGGTGCATAATACCTTAGGTCAGCTCACTGTTCTCCCCAACAAAAGGATTGTTTGAGTATTCTTTGCAAGCAGTGGGCTGGTAACGTGATCATTATCTTATCAAGATTCAATAACTCAGTAGCTGGACTGCAGTTAATAATGTTACTAATCTGGAATGAATCCAGCTGTCAGCTTAGATCTTGTTACCGATATTGTGCACAGAATAACTTTGCTAGACATTCATGACAGATGGTGCCTATATCACTGTGAGTGAGTGTGTGTGTTGGGGGAAGGGGAGGAGGACACTTGGATTGGCTTCACACATTACACCCATGTGGGGATCCAACCCAGATTTATTGCTTAACAAGCAATCACTTTAACTAGGCTACCCCACAGCCTGCTTACATCACAGGTGAGACATATGACTGATATTGTTTAAGAATATCCATTCTTAAAGAGTTGCAAATATAGTTGTATACATTCTCATATATATTTGACCCGTGAAGATTCCGGGGTAGAATAGGTCTTCAGCAACCCATGCTTGCCGTAAAAGGTGAGTATGCTTGTCGTAAAAGGCCATTAACGGTATCGGGTAGTCACGCTCACTGACTTAGTTGATGCATGTCATCGATCCCAATTGCTTGGATTGATGCTCATGACATTAATCACTGGATTTTCCGGTCCAGAATCGATTAGTTACAGACCGCTGTCATATAGCTGGAATATTGCTGAGTGCGGCGTTAAACAACAAACCAACTAACCAACTCATATATATTTACAGGGCACAATATTCTGTTTGTTTACTTGATTCACTCCCAGAAGAGTACCTGTAACATGTATCTGTCACTGTCTGTATAACAAGTGACTATTCCGACCTGTCCGAGGTGACAAGTGTGGATGATTGGAGCAGGTCTGTCTGTCTGTGTGACTGTTCAAGACGTATTGCCAAACACATCATGTATCTTGAGAGTGAGCTTGTACCAATGTCAAACTGGCGGAGTTCATGATCACCATGGATGCTGATCTATGAAAGCTTACAATGTCCTACTGGGCTTTTTGGGAGTACATTTTGTGAATAGAATAATGTCTTTCTTCAGCTAAATGCCAAATAACCTAATTAATTATTTAAGAGATATTTGGGAGTGCGACTTGACTCTACAGTATGTGTTGTTATTGTACTGCTTATCATCAAAATTGTGCTTGATCTTCACTGTCAGGTTTTCGCAAACAGGAGCGTTGTACGACCACGGCAAGTGGAACAGGCATTTTTTCATGACACCTTGTTACCTTGCTTAAATGCAGACATTTGTGAGTCTAAATATTTTGGTCCAACAATCAGTCTAATAGATCATTTCACTACAAGATAGGAAAACTGGCTTCCATTCCACTCACACACAATACACTAAAAGTCATGACTAGTAGCTGACCAGCAATGGTGGTCAAATGACTGTTGAGATCACCATCAAAGGCAAGCCTGGAATATGGCCTCAATGCTATTATCAACATGATAGTGATGAGAGGTAGAGGAGCAATTAATGCCTACATGCTAGGAGCCCTAGTCAATCAACTGTCAATTGACTGATATCAAGCAGGGAACACACCACAAAATGTCAATAACACTGAAGAGTTCCTTCCCTTTGCTTATGCCGAATGAATATTTGGACTTAATGTATGCATATAAACATGGGTATCATTATGATAAAGCCAGTCTTTCCAAACATCAAGGTTGTATATTACCTCGTCTTTATGATGCTACAACTAAAGCATATAATGGACAAGCCTTAATTGGCTGTATACGTGTTACAGTCAATGTTTAAAATCAGTCAATGAGTAAAATGACTGAAATTTTCACTTTGGCAATTTACAAAATATTAAGAAGTTCAAAAGGGCTTAAAAACTTCACAATAGACTAAATATGCAATGATTAGAAGCCAAAATGTTTTTAAAAATATACACTGACCTTTGTTTTCTTTTAATTTTATCATTTTACGACACTGGGTAATGAAATAGAGCATAAACATGTTTGGAAATTGTTATCATAATATAACAAATGGAAAATGAATTGTAAAATGACCGAAATATGTTGACTTTTTGTAAATTGCCTAAGTGAAACTTTCTGTCATTTTACACATTGCCTAACATATATAGATAGTACTAGGCTTTGACACACTGTCTGCAGAGCTGCTATAACCTGCAGGAACAAAGTGACCACTAGTACATGTTAATGTGAGTGGAGTCAAGACATACTTCGGGAGGACCATTTCATTGGGTTTGAGATTTCAGTTTTCTTTCAAAACAACATTTTCTGACATTTCTCATGTGTTGTTTTTTTTTAAACCTGGACTATATTAATTGTCAAGTATTTCAGGTTGCATGAACAGAAATTTTGTAAATATTTTTGAATATGTAATAAATTTGTTATGATGCTATCCAAACTTATTTCAAGTGCAAGTCTTCAAAGCTGCGTCCTTCATAGTTGCTTCTATCTGACCTATATTGAAACAAGCATCTGTTTAACATCTTAAAGGTTTGTGGCTTTGCGCAAAAAACAGTTGAAGTTCTTGAAAGTTTGACAATTGGGACATAGGATGAAATCATTAAGTATTAATTAAGTGTTGTAGATTTAAGAATTAAACTTAAGATTATCATTTAATAAACACCTGCAAAAAATATTTTTGCTACACAGAAATAACATGGACATCAACGGTGATTATGCTAACCAACAAATACTTTTGTCTCATACTGTATGTTGGCAAGAAATGTTACTGCCATTATTTAAGTCTTTTTAACTTTCCATTCTGTTTTTATTTGTTTAGTTATTTCAAAAATAGAATTTAAAGAAGTCATATTTCTTTCAAACATTGGCATGGACGAATCAAGTCTCTCAAAAGTGGTGTTCTCGATCGTGCAAACATTTTGACACTTTCTTAAAGTTCACATGCACACTTCTAGAACTCATAAATTAGAATATTGGATTATTAGTTTTGTTAAAATGCTGTAATATATCTTTTAATTAATGTCCAAGCATTTCTGGATGCATGGCAACATACTTAATTAGTCTATTGGTTAATTGCTATAGACTGATGTTCCTGCAAAATAGCTGCACACAGTGCTGATATAATGTATTGGCCTGTACCCCAGGACTTTACCTTGACCTACAAAAGTAGGGGTACCAGGGACCCCAATAATTAATGTTAGGGTCCTTGCAGGCAACATGGGGGTCCTGTGAAGCAGGGGTCCGGAAAATTTAAAATCCCAATCGGACATTTGCATTTAGGCCACGCCCCCTGCAAATAGCGTATTTTAGTACGACTTTTTACACACACATTACAAGTTGTTACGTATTCATAATATGATGAATTATGAATTGTTTCAATTTAAATTGTTTAATTCACCAGACAATTAATAACAAATAATATCCTTTTAGATATATATGGAAAACATACGTTTGTTTCTGTTATAATAACGATCTGTTAACGTAGTGAACGGTCTAATTAATATTCATGAGTCTGCTCAAGTGTACGCGTTGTAACATTTGGATCGAGACTATTATCCCATATTTGGTTATCACGTGACCTCACGGGAAAAGGGTTTTTTTAAACTAAAGATTATTTAAAAACAAGACAGATAATATAATCACAAATACTAAAATATCGTTGATAGCAATAGTTATTTGAATACTTTTTTCATCTGTTCTTAATTATTGACCATAAAAAATTTGATATCGATCGTCACAGAAAGCAAAATGGCGGTCAATCAAGATTCAATATACGACTAGCTACTGAAAACAATAAAATCTGCAAATCCTCATTGTATGTCAACCAAGTGAAAGTCGTTAGCCACCACTTACAAAATGATCATTCAGACTTTGAGGGTTTGGCAGATCCCCTCGACTGATTTGCATCGGTCGACTGGCTGTCGTCACACTTTCGCTTCTTGTCTGAGGTTACGTATCGTAGCATTGTGAGGATAATGAGGTACATCGATGATGCAAGGTATTTATGTACAGTTGTAAACACATTTTACTCAAATTAACAAGATGTTCTCAGTAATTAATCCTCGATTAATCAGTGTCAACTCAGTTTATTGCGTATTACAGTGATTGACCGATTGGACTATCATGTAGGTACAATGTATTTACAGCAATCAAAACAAACAAAGCTTGTCAGTGTAGATAATCTTCATTGTGTTACAACTGCAGACAGAAACTGCTCAGTCCTAACTGTTGATCACGTCCAGTCAAAATTTAAGAATGTCCGGACAATACTTTTTTAAAATGTGCGGACAGAAAAATTTTAAATGTCCAGTAAGCAATATTTTAAACCGGACATTTGAGATTCCCAACGAGAAAAGATTAACTACAGCAACATTAAAAAAGCCAACAAAGGATACCAAATTATTTTCCCTAACCAAGAATCCTTCATGGCAGCCAATAAAATAACTCAAATATTCCACGTTACTGTAATAAAACAAAAACCAAACTGGCAGCAATACACACAAGGCGTAATTAGAGTCAATCCAAGAGAAACAACTGAAGATTTAGAACTTTACTCCCTTGAAGCAAACATAAACCAAGACCTAAACCCTCAACCTCAAATCACAAGTACCCGCAGAATCACCTCAACTAGAAATGGAAAAACGGTCCCAACCTCAATTGTTATCATCAACTTCAAAAAGACCGCTAGATTTCCCGAAGCCCCTAAACACATATCTTTCGGAGCCCACACTAACTTAGAAGTCAAACCCTATATAAAACAGGTCAAACAATGTTCCAACTGCCTCAAATATAATCACACAGCCTCCCAATGCACATTTAAAAAAACTAAATGTAAAAAATGCGCACAAACAGACTGCACAGGCACATGCACACCCTGGTGCATCTACTGCAAATCCACCAAACACACCTCACTTTCAAACCAATGCCCACACAGACAAACCCTCACCCAGCAGGCCAACAAACACATTAACATAGAAACGGCCAAAATCCAAACACGAAAATTTGCATCACCCGCATCAAAACCACTTCTCCCTACACTGCACCCAAACACCATCCCTCAAACAAACACCACACCCATAACCGCAAGCTCTGTCTGGGACGACGACATAGAAACCGCACCCACCTCACACACACATGCAGCCATACAACCACCCACCAACTCTCCCATACCTCACATAGCCACAACATCAACACCCGCATGCAAAACAAACCACAAAACGACCACCACAACGCAACCCTCACCCAAACACTCTACACCCCACAAGGCAACAACATTCAGCCACAAGCAAGCACAACAAAAAAACACAAACACTAAATCCACAGCTACGCCCACCCCGCAAGCCCAAACACAACCCTCCACACCGCAAGCCACCCCTATGGAAACCCAAACAGCTAAATCTAACTTAACTGATGAAGAAGAGTACTCAACAACAGAAGAAACAATCAAAGCTACTCCAACTAAAGCAAATGAAACTACCTTCAAAAACCTAAATAGTCTCACTTTACTCCTAGCTTACATGCATAGTCAAAACTCACCAAACACAAGCATGAAATCCTTCCACAAAGTAGCATTCAATCTAAACTTAACCAATCTCCCCTTCTTCCTCTTTAATCTCCACCTAAAAGAACTCACCAAGTAAAATAAAACTAAAAGCAAAATTACCAAACACCCGACCCCAACAATGGAAGGACTAAATATTTTTCAGTGGAACGCCAACGGACTCACCTCCAACGGCCATGAACTAAAAGCTAAATTTAAACGAGATAAAGGCCCACATATTGCTTGTATTCAGGAAACTAAAATTCTCCAAAAAATCCAAATTCACACTACCGAACTATAACTCAGTTAGAACAAATAGAGCTAAACCAAAAACAGGTAGAGCCGCAGGAGGACTGATTATATACGTCAGGGAAGATATAAACTACGAAGAAATAAATATAGACACGCCAAACCTAGAAGCTAACGGCATTCAAATCACATTAAATAACAAAAAGATAAACATCATTAATATATACCACTGGGTAGAACAAAAAGTCCAACCTGAGGATCTAAATAAGCTACTCCAAATAAGCCACAAATCCACTATATTCCTAGGAGACTTTAATGCTCACCATCCTACATGGAGTATAAATGATAAAATAGATAATCATGGCAAATTAATCTCCGAATGGATAGAAACAAACGACCTAGTACTCCTAAATAACAACCAACCCACGAGGTACGATAAGATTAACAAAAAAAATGGCGGCTATCGACCTAACTATATGCACCGCAGATCTAGCCCAAAGTACTCAATGGGAAGTACACAATGTCCCACTAGGTAGTGATCACTTCCCCATAAACATAACCATAGGAGATACAAATGTACCAATACAAACAGAAAATCAAGAACCAAAATTCCGTTATAACCAAGCTAACTCGGACCAATTTCAAGTGATCTGCAATCAGGCTAATTTAAACGAATTAGAAAATAATGATCCAGAAATCTACTGTAAAAACCTAACAGATTACATAATAAAAGCAGCCAAAACCTCCATCCCTTTTAAAACAACTAAAACAGGCAAACCTGCAGTACCATGGTGGAACGAGGATATAGAACAAACTAGACGTAAACGCAAATCGGCCTTCAATAAAGCCAAACGCGACTCTAAACATCTAAAAATAGCTCACGAACTAAACCACCAAGTTCAAAGTCTAGTCAAAATATCTAAAACCAGAAACTGGAAAAAATTCTGTGAAGAAATAAATAACCGTACAGACGCCAGAACGGTGTGGCACAAAATCCACGCCATTAGAGGCTTAAAACGTCATAAAAAAAACCTAACATTAATAATTCAACAAACCCCGCTGAAAAGGCAAATAACCTCGCCAACCACTTTTTGGCCGTAAGCAGCAACAACAACTTTAGCCAAAAATTTCAAGATAAACTTAAAACAGAAAACAAATACACCAAAGAACCAAATAATGACAACCTAGAAATAACCCACCCTTACACAATGGAGGAGCTACTCTACGTCATCCAAAACAGGAAAAAGGGCACAGCCCCAGGATTGGACCTAATTTCCTACCAAATAATTAAAAAAACAAACCCTAAACTACTCCAGGCACTACTTAAACTATACAATCTCATCTATCTAAACGGACAAGTACCTACTCCCTGGAAACAGGCCTTAGTCATACCAATCCCTAAACCTAATAAACCAGCTAATCAGGCTAACTCCTATAGGCCAATTTCCTTAACTTCAAACTTACGTAAAGTAATGGAATCTATGGCTAAAAACAGACTACAACATTACCTAACTCAAAATAACATCATAAACCCAGATCAAAGTGGTTTCACTCCTGGCCGCTCAACCTTAGATAACCTCGCCTGTTTAGAGCAGGACATTAAAACAGGACAACTCAGCAAACAATATACTACAGGCATCTTCTTAGACTTCTCCAAAGCTTTCGACATGGTATGGCACGACAGGCTAATACAAAAACTACAAAAATGGGACTCAAAGGTCAAATAATAAACTACATCAAGGACTTCCTAAACAATCGTAAAATAACCGTGGGTATAGAACAAACGCTATCGGACCAATGTCCCCTAGAAAATGGCACTCCCCAGGGCAGTATCCTCAGCCCCACACTCTTCAATATAATGATAAATGATCTATTCGAGGGCCTATCCCCTAAAATAAACACATCTAAATTCGCGGATGATGGAGCCCTCTGGATCCGCACAAAAAGCATTAAAATGGCCCCAAACCTACTTCAAAAATCTCTAAACAAAATACAGCAATGGGCTGACAAATGGGGCTTCTCCCTTAACTCGGAAAAAACTACAGGAATAGTATTTAAACACAAAAACATGAAACCCGCCTCCCCAAAACTCCAGCTAAACAACAAACCAATCCAATTCCTAAAACAAACCAAATGCTTAGGACTAATTTTCGATGAACATCTCTCCTGGGACCCTCACATAAATAATCTAATAACTAAATGTAGCAAAGATCTAAATACGCTAAGGTGCCTTACTGGCTCAAACTGGGGGGCCTCCAAAGACACCCTCCTCTCACTCTATATAACACTAATTAGATCTAAAATAGACTACGGATGTGCCATATACGAAACCCTAAACCAATCCCTAAGCAAAAAAATAGACTCAATCCAATATCTAGTCTGTCTTACAGACCCTGATACATTTATATCAACTACAGCCCATGCAAGTCTATAATGTTTGGCAAGTCTAGATTACTGCAGTATCTGAAAATGAAGAGAATCACTGGGCTCCCTTTTTATTAGATTTTTATTAAGATAACTGAACAACTGTTTTTTCTGTATGATATGTTCATTTCAGAGATAATATGTTAGTCTATCCAATATCAGGCTCTAAAACTAATAACACGCACTTAACATGGCACCTCCTACACTTCACTCCAGGCCTTAACAGGAGAAATGCCACTAAATCTACGTAGGGAACAATTAACCCTAAATTTCTGGGCCGCGTCTCAATCCAACCCCCTAATTCAAAACCTAATAAACAAAAATATAAGCCCCAAAAATCAAGCTCTAGCTCGAAAACACCCTCTACTTACTCCAATATCCCAAAGAATAACCAATTACTTAAATGAACACCAAATAAACAATCTTAAACAAAACTGTAAAAAATCAAATATCTTCACCCCAAAACTTAAAACACCCAAAATAGACATAACACTAGCTAGCACAATAAATAAACAAACCGACCCAAACATAGCAAAAACCACCACACTAGCAGACATACATGAAAATTGGCCAAATTGGTGTCACATTTACACAGACGGATCCTCAGATCCGATCTCCAAACACACAGGTTTCGGAGTCCACATCACACAACCGACTAAAGCCACACAATCCTACCGACTCCCAAACAATCAATCAATATTCACGGCCGAACTAATGGGCATGGCCTCAGCCCTTCATAATCAACAATCTAAAATACAACAAAAAATCTTAATACTTACCGACTCGCTCAGTGGACAAGCCCTCCAAAATAAAAACACCAAAAACCGCCCTGAACTAATAAATCAAATACTAAAAAGCTCAAACGATTTAACTAAGGCAGGCAAACAAATAGTATTCATTTGGATCCCCGCCCACGTAGGAATATACGGCAATGAAAACGCTGATAAAGCAGCTAAACTATCCCTTAAAATCCCAGAAATAAGCTTAAACCTACCCATCTCCAAATCAGAAATTAAAAGTGTCAACAAACAAAAATCACCAAAAAATGGCATAACCTATATCAAAACTCAAATAGCCAAATCAAAAAGGTTCTAAAAAAACCCCTAACCAAACCAAAAATTCTACATCCGTCCCAAAAAATCGACAGAGTAATTACTTAGCTCCAAACAGGACATACCAACCTAAATAACAACCTCAAAATAATAAGAAAACACGCAATAGGAATTGCCCACATTGCAAACAACAAGAAGCCCCAGAACACGCCCTCATACACTGCACCCACTACGTAACACACCGAACTACACTACAAACCACCCTAAATCTAAATAAGGCTCTTACTCTAGAAGCAATCCTAAACCCACAAAATAAAATTACACTACAAACCACCCTAAATCTAAATAAGGCTCTTACTCTAGAAGCAATCCTAAACCCACAAAATAAAATAGAAAAATTCAAAGCCTTAGGCGTATACTTAATCAAAACAGGACTAATAAATCGCATTTAAAACCCCAATAAAATATCAAAACCAAACCACATAATCAAACTAACAAACTTCCATACTCAGGTCCCTTAGTTCGCCCCCCAAACCCTCCTGGCATTTTTTCCAAATCTCAAAATTTCCAAAATTCTATATCAGCAACAACTAAAACACCTCTACTGGATTGCCAAACAACTTTTTCCCCTTTTCGGAAACACATTAAATGGCCTGGCCGGGCCCGTGTGCGAAATACGCTGCAGTCGGAAAGCGCACGTAAAATCTCCAATATAAGTAAGTAAGTAAGAGATTCCCAATCGGACATCTCCGGCGCATATGACGGTTTCCGGACCCCTGCTGTGAAGTAATGTAAAGTGTAGTGTACGTATAGGTGGACAGTGGTCATGATTGATGGATGAAATAACAGACGACCATACCTGCTCTTGATGCACTGTAAGTACACTGAATATTATTGTGCGTTCCTCGGGACACATTATATTGTTTTCTGCTTTCATTCTCAACATTTGTGAGTACTGGACGCTCATTGTGTGTCCTGTAAAACCCTTTGATTGTAGTGCAAACTGAGGAAATACCAACTGCTACACAGCAGTTCCTTCATCAGCCCCTGGGACAGGCTACAATGTCAGTGATGAGACAGGTGGCCACAATCCTCACCACACTAGGCCATCTAGTCCTGCACCATGACTGTGGAATATATTTATTTTATGAAAAAACAAAACAATCTAGAAACGTTTACAAAAGAAGTCTAGCCAGCTTTAGCTAGCTCTATGAAATCAGCATCGGGAAAATTATTTTTTTTATTTTTAGAGTCAAGAAGGGTATTGTGTAATATAAGATTTCATAGACTAAATGTTAGTCTATAGGCCATCAGACAAAGGTGTACTTCAAGCCCTGAAACCCATCACATCTACAGCAAGACGGCCCACATTGTTCTCATATTACCCACTCTTTTATAGGAAGGTTATCTACATAAACATGCCAAGAAGGATTTTTTCTGATAGCATGAGCTGATTCAGCATGGTTTGGTATAGGGATAAGTAGGGACCAGCAAGCCTGTAGATAAACAGTGGCCTTTCACATGTCACTGCTGACACTGTGCTCTGTCCATGTGCTATAAGCATCCGGTGACACAGCTATTCTTTTTTAAACAAAAGGGGTTGGCAAAAGTTTTATATTTATTTCACATTCCTGTAGAGTCAGTGATGACTTATCACTGTACTATGGTGTATGTGACTATTATGTATGGAGTAGCTCATGTCACAGCAGTACTCCACAGTCTCTTCACAGAGTTGAATTAAATGATTTCGTATGTAAATGAAATGTGTAATTACCAAAGTAAGTAAATGAAATGTTTAATTAGCAAAGTAGATACAAAATACTTTATTAGTAGCATCAAAAAAATATGGCGGATTGGTGTCCGGTATAATGCATGTGGTTTAATTAGCAAAGTAGATACAAAATACTTTATTAGTAGCATCAAACAAATATGGCGGATTGGTGTCCGGTATAATGCATGTGTATTATAAAACAAGCTAAACATTCAAGAATATAACACAGATCCAAATATCCACTGGGGCCACTTATTAGTATGTGTACTTCATGTATGTCAATAGTATGACTAAGACTTGTTGGGGTGTGTGAAGTAACCTTGATTTAACAACAATTATAGGATTTTAACACTCATTGTTTTGTTTTTCCCCATTGCCCCTTCCCCTTGTATCTGTGCTGTAATAAAGGTAAACATCAATTGATCTTTTCAGCCTCTAGTCTCAGAAATGAACTATTTTACAGAAAAAAACCAGTTGTTCAATTATAGTTATAAAATATAATAAAAAGGAGCCCAGAGACTTTCTTCATTTTCATACTGATACTGCAGTAATGTAGACTTGCCAAATATTTTAGACGTGCATGGGCTGTATTGGATTTATTTGATCCAGGTTCTGAATGACAGACTACTTTGCAGCCAAATAGTGCTGATCACACAGAGCAGCATCTGTCTGACCTACAGTCACTCATCTCACAACAACTGCCTGCACCTGCAGTAGTGTATTGCATACTGACTGTATGCCAGCAGCCAGTCCAGGTATCAGTCTATGTCACATTGATTCAGGGTCTATAATATGTAACCTCATCTTTGTAGTGCTATTTCAGTGCTATTTGGAGAAACTAAACTAAACAAACTAACCAATTTGTGTTTTGAAATCACTAATGGGCTGAGAATGCCAAATTTGAATAATATTCAGAATTCAAGGGAGTCTGTTGGTACCGTGAGCGCCAAATCAATGGATTAGCCATGAATGTGGTGAACCATGAATGCAAACCGTTTTATGATATAAACAAGTTACCGTATTCGACGTAATAAGCGCCCCGCTCTAATAAGCGCCCATGGCGATATTTGTTAATATATTGGCTAGTGAACAATCCCAATTAGCACCCCTTCCGATTGATCAATGTACACAAGACTTATTTATTCGTGTATAATACGCACTCGTGTGTTATATGCATCCTTAATTATGGGCAATTAAATTCTGGAAAAATATATCTGTCGTATATAAACATGTCAGGCTGTCAGCAACCACGAAATTTATCTTTCACCTGTTTTTTTTCCACCAAAATACCATTCTAATAAGAGCCCCCTATTTCTAATTTTGAGAGCGCCCTGGGCGCTTATTACGTCGAATACGGTATTCAGAATACATGTAGTACAAATACACAAAATGCATAAAACCGAAAAACAATTAATCTAAGCATATCACAACATTAAAGGGGCACTGACCTAAAGCCATTCCCCGGGACTGGTTGTTGCCTTTGTTATTGTTTTTTCCCTGTGAGCACCCGGATGATACGCAACGCAACTGAGCGTGACAAGAGACTGGGCTACCGTCTGCAAGGACAGCTAAATAAACTTGGAGGCAACATTTGTTTTCTGCATTTTTGAAGACTTGATTGGTTACCCGTGATCTATAAAGATTTCGGCAAAGGGCACATGTTAATTAATTTCTTCAGCCTAAACAAACAGACAAAAAGAACGCCGGAGCTTATCGTATGTCGTCATTTGGAAATACCCCTGATTGTTATAGTTTAATAATAAAAAAAAGTATCCATGCAGTGAAAACTTTTTCGGATTTCTGATTGCGTCGCTAATACGATTGCTCCTCCCTTGTTGTCATCCACGTTATCTGGGATAACCCTACACTTGTGTATTTGTCGTCATTCACTTGATGCTCAGTTAATGAACTTATTACAGGTATAATTAGTGGTAGCACCACTCAGAATACCTGACAAAGGTTCCCATTTGGCATTTATTGTGTCTGGGGTAATTATTCAATCTAAATCCAGGTTTGAAGTGAAGTGAAATGTGTGTTATGTAATATGCACGTGGCAGCGCAGCAAGAGATGAATGATCAGTTGATTTTACTTTTTTGTAAATCAACGGATCGTTCCTAGTCATCAAAGGATGATCAGAAAAAACATTGATTGTTTAATCACTGTTATCTTGCACAGTGGATATGTAAAAAAGTGAGTGTTTACATGTCTAGGTTTACTAAAACAAAGGGAATACACTCATATGATGGCATGAAGTGCCGATGTAAAAACAACATACTTTGTTCAAAGGGTTAACCGATAATATGTTGATTAATTGTTCATTGAGTGAGTGAGTTGGGTTCAACGCTGCTTTAAACAGTATTCACGGCGTGTCAGCTTAATGTGGGGGGAAAGCCCGAAGTGATGCAGGTCTCAGACGTTTACCACTTCCGTGAAACCCACTAGCACGAGTATGGTGCTGACAAACCTAGAAACATAATCGGGGCGAACCGGGATTCGAACCCACAATGATAGGTTTCTGGCGTGCCCAAGGGACGCAACTCTGCACAGCGAATCGCGGCGCCTTAGATGACTAGCCAACCTGTGCCCCCGATTGCTCATTGTCATCTAACTCAATTGATTTTTTTAGGAACCGTTGACATGAAAATAGTTGTCACGTGGGCTATCTCAGCCGACCTTTGAGACTCTACACTTATGTGAAACACATGAAACAATCAAAGTGATCAGCTGAGAAATGAACACGGGTTATAATATCCCGAAACAATAAATATATATATATATAAAATATTTGATTGTTACAGAGAAAAGTGACATCGAATAAGTTTCTTTGTACAGCTGCAGACGTGTGGGATATTGTTCGTTTGTGTGGATATTCACGGATACATTCCTCGAACAAGGAAGCTGCCTAAAATTATATACATAAAGTTGGTAGGTTGTAATTATGACATTTGCATTTCGTTTTCCTTCATTTGCTGTAGCACTGGACAGATTCATTCTTGTTCCTCTACGTCTTGGTTGGGAAATTCTTCGATGCGCGATAGATGTTATTTTCACAAGTATTTTCCTTTGTAAGGGTGTAAATATTTCAATTATTTTTACAGAAAAATCTGTCCATTTCTTTTACAGATTGACTTAAATTGAGTAAGACGATCAAAGGGCCTAAAAACATCACAATAGATTATTATGTGGGATTAGAAGCCAAACAATATAGAAATGTGCTTTTCATCATAACATTTTCAGTCACTTGGTGATGATATTAAACATAAAAATGTTTGGAATTCATTGGCATAATTATACAGATAGACATATTTTTCAGGCAATTTGTAAAAGTGAAAATTTTGCACATTTTGACTGTAAAAATAAAAACACGATAAAATAGCCAATGCTCAGGAGAAATATTTACTTTGTTTTGCAAGTCAAAATAGTGTAAACAAAAATCGCACAATTACCAAGCAAGTGACTTATCAAAACTTCGTCACCACTACCGATGCTACCAAAAGATACCTTCCTTTCCTTATTATTTACAAAACTGTATTTTATTTTGTTGATCAATGTGACCATACGCCCTTCTACTATCAAAAGTGACAAATGCGCTTACGAATTGCGCAGCACAGGTCGCGAACTAGTCTAGGTTTCTGCTATATCATCCAGGTACTCACGGCAAAAAACAATAACAAAGGCAACAACCAGTCCCGGGGAATTGCTTTAGATCAGTGCACCTTTAACAATTTACAGCTAATTAGTAGTGAATCTACACGCGATGCAGATGTGTTTACAGATGAAGCCCTTAAGAATATCAAAACTTCTGTGAACACCACATCAGAAACTTTTCAAGATCAAATCTTAAAAATATAGTAAATGATAAACTAAATGATATTAAGTTGCAATCCTGGATGGCTGCAAGAGATATATCCCCCAAAGGATCCATGTATGTAATTGCAACAAATAACTGTTTAAATTTTTAAAACTATTTAATTAATACAGATAGGAACATTTGGAGAATTTTACTTCAGCTCTGAGCATTAATAAATATTATTATATTAAATCTAACATGCTTAAAATGTATTTATGTTTTAACAGCTAAAAAAACATTGAGAAAACTATCGAAGTTGAGTAAAATAATAATGATCAGTTAAGACCTGGAAAGAATATTTCATAAGCATTTGTACAAATTTTCAGCAGTGTTTTGTACCTGATCCGATTTGCTCGAAAAATATGTTTTGACATTGTAATATTGTTTTCAGTTCTGTCAGAACAATTTCACCTGGACTCAACAATGATATCAAAAAATACATTTTTTGTGGTTAGGAGAATGTTTAAGGAAGGGTTAACATGGTTAACAAGGGTGAGGAAGGATTAACAAGGGTGAGGAATTGTTTTGCTTTGGCAGGGACGTGTGCAGCTGACCATGACCGTGAACAGAGTCTCGCTTGGTGAGGTGCAAAATGGAGGACAAGCTGTGCCAACTTACAAATGAAATTACAGTTGTCCCTCGCAATAATGCTCTTCACGATATTGCAGATTCACTTAAACCACGGGATAATCAATGATTCCCATAAATTTCAGTATTTTCCCCACAGACACACATCTTCACGCCATCGGAAATAGCATATCAACAAATCTGTACTGAATTATGAGTGAGTGAGTGAGTGAGTATGTTTTACGCCGCTTTTAGCAATATTCCAGCGATATCACGGCGGGGACACCAGAAATGGGCTTCACACATTGTACCCATGTCAGGAGTCGAACCCGGGTCTTCGGCGGTACTGAATTATGAAAGTTAATCCTGTTGTTACCATGTACACTATCTGGTAACAAAAAGTGTTCACTGTATATCTGGACTTGCATTTGTAATATATTTAATAAATTTGTGTTCTAATTTTCATTCAGAATTGTTTATATTAATTTCGGTAAAATTGTGAGTGAACTATTCGGCAGATTGCACCAATTCACTGTTATTTACAGCAACCATGATTATCATGTAAATTTAAAAAAACAAAAAGCTCAGACTCCAAAATGTAAAAACTACAAATCTTGCCTCTTGATAACTGGCAGTCCACACTGCAGCAACAGTTATGGCTGAACACCATTGGTATATTTGACAGTAACAAGATTGGTCCTTGAGCAGACTGGGACCACACTTACCTGTTTTTGGAAGGTTGGCTTCAGAGAGCTGTGTAGAATCATGCCAGATCCAGGGGCAATACATATCCTTGTAGCAGACCACAATACTAGAAGTAGCAGTGAGGCAGCTGCCAGTAATCGTAATATTCACTTCACATGTTTAAGAAGCCATAAACAAATTGGCCAGGTCAGCACTTGAGTGAAAGCCTATTCAGATCCATGCCTGCATGAAAGTACCTACAAAGCCAACAAGCTAGACTAATGCCTAGTTTCTGGAAATAAGTCATTTTGATAGAAACAAATAACTCCATTTAAATTAATGAGGAGCCCCAGTGAGATGCGAGATCGAACCTGTGGAAAATCTAGACTTGCTTAATTTAAAGATGCACTATTACACTAAGGTAAGGTGAGGTGAAGTGAAATGGAGTTTAACGTCACGTCCAAGATTATTGCACTTATATAGCAACGTGCATGCACGTATGTGTGTGGCTGTTTGTACTAGTCTGGACTGATGCCGATTTTATAGTCCAAGCCCTCTCTGATACCATCCAACAGTTTAACATGAATACCTCACTCAGAAACAGTATACTGACTCTGAGCCAACTAGTCCTTATTATAGCCCCTTAATGCCGGGTGCCAGGCAGGTTTAACAACAAGTATCATTGTTTAACATCTTTTGGTATGACACGGACAGGTCAGGAGTTTAGATCAGAGTTCCGTTCTCTGGGCAGATGCTCTACCTGTAACTAGACCAGGGAGGCGGTCACATTACACTAAGGGCTGGGTGGAAGGGTAAACAAGAGTTTGCCACTATCTTGGCTATATCCCCCGCCCCTGTTGCAGAATTTATGACATAATTAAATCTAAAATAACCCTAACCTTTTTTAACCGAGGTGGAACTTGTCAGTGAAATTGTAAAAAAAAGAAGGGTTTGGAACCTAAGTCCATCTTGTTGCCATGGAAACGTAAAAAATAAAAATTTCTAAAATTTCTAAATAGCAAAAGGCACCAGTTCAGCACGTACCTGAAAGACCTGCAAAGTTTGATGAAAAAATATTGAACGGTTTATGAGCCCGTTTCTATATTCCCCGCCAACTTTGTTGGGCGGGGGATAATAACATGGTTCAGGGACTGTGAGGCAGACAGCCAACAAGCATACACACATGTAGCCTGACAGTTTGGCTGGTGGAAGGAGATCCATGACTTATTCTAGGCTTTCAATTATCATTTGCCATCAAAACAATTGATTTAATGAAAAGGTACAGGGACTTATCAGGCAGTCTACTGCAACCTTTGCACAGATGACTTCTCTCATAACTGGACAATAAGAAAAAATGCTCTAATAATTAGTTTTACATTATTGCTCAGAAAGTTATGATAAAACTCCTCTAAACATGCTGAATGTAAGAAAATAAGGATATTAATGCTGTTTTTCGATTTTGGCAAACTACCTAGCCAACTATGATGTATTCCCCTTCTGGTGTGAAAGAATAGCCAATTATGATGTATTCCCCTACTGGTGTGAAAGGATAGCCAAATATGATGTATTCCCCTACTGGTGTGAAAGGATAGCCAATTATGATGTATTCCCCTACTGGTGTGAAAGGATAGCCAAATATGATGTATTCCCCTACTGGTGTGAAAGGCTAGCCAATTATGATGTATTTCCCTAATGGTGTGAAAGGATAGCCAATTATGATGTATTCCCCTACTGGTGTGAAAGGATAGCCAATTATGATGTATTCCCCTACTGGTGTGAAAGGATAGCCAATTATGATGTATTTCCCTACTGGTGTGAAAGGATAGCCAATTATGATGTATTCCCCTACTGGTGTGAAAGGATAGCCAATTATGATGTATTTCCCTACTGGTGTGAAAGGATAGCCAAATATGATGTATTCCCCTTCTGGTGTGAAAGGATAACCAATTATGATGTATTCCCCTACTGGTGTGAAAGGATAGCCAATTATGATGTATTCCCCTACTGGTGTGAAAGGATAGCCAAATATGATGTATTCCCCTACTGGTGTGAAAGGATAGCCAAATATGATGTATTCCCCTACTGGAGTGAAAGGATAGCCAATTATGATGTATTCACTACTGGTGTGAAAGGATAGCCAATTATGATGTATTCCCCTACTGGTGTGAAAGGATAGCCAATTATGATGTATTCCCCTACTGGTGTGAAAGAATAGCCAATTACGATGTATTCCCCTATTGGTAGGTTCATAAAATTAAATACTAAGTTGACGTGCAGCTTGGCTTGTGTACCGGCCTGCAGTGTCAGGGGACTCGGTGTTGAAAGAGTTCAGTCATGTTGATAATCGTTTTCCAGAAGGGAAATTCAATTTGTTTCAGCACATATTTAAAAATTATTTTTTTACATACAAGTCATGATTATTAACAAAAATACTCAGTTACTTTCATTGATAAATTAAGTGTGCGAAAGGGGCACGCAGGAAAGGAATTCATGGTGCCATTACAGTTTTAGGTGTACCTTTGGCACAATGGCATTAATAATTTCGAACGCTGCCATGTCTAGTCAGAAGGTATTTATAAGCAATACAAATACAATAAGCATTGCAGACAATCTGGGCCAATAACCTGAGCCTATTACCAGGCCTATTACTGCAGCCTGAGACCACACATTCACTCTCCTGTGCGCGGCCAGATATTAAACTGTATTATGTCAGCTGGTGTAGAGGTGCTGGTGTGTTTTGCCCACACACAAACATCTGGAGTGTTTTTATTCTCCCTTCAGAGCTCGACACTAGATTCTCCTGTGTATTCCTGTCCATGAAAAGAAACAGACATCTCCAAGAGATCTATCATCAATCATCATTGTGTGAACAATGTGTCTGTGATGATTAAACACTGAACATTGTGTCTGTGGTGATAAAACACTAAAGACATTGTGTCTTTGATGATCAAACACTGAACATTGTGTCTGTGATGATCAAACACTAAAGACATTGTGTCTGATGATCAAACACTGAACATTGTGTCTGTGATGATCAAACAGTGAACATTGTGTCTGATGATCAAACACTGAACATTGTGTCTGTGATGATCAAACACTGAACATTGTGTCTGTGATGATCAAACACTGAACATTGTGTCTGTGATGATCAAACACTGAACATTGTGTCTGTGATGATCAAACAGTGAACATTGTGTCTGTGATGATCAAACACTGAACATTTTGTGTCTGTGATGATCAAACACTGAACATTGTCTGTGATGATCAAACACTGAACATTGTGATTGTGATGATCAAACACTGAACATTGTGTCTGTGATGATCAAACACTGAACATTGTGTCTATGATGATCAAACACTGAACATTGTGATTGTGATGATCAAACACTGAACATTGTGTCTGTGATGATCAAACACTGAACATTGTGTCTGTGATCATCAAACAGTGAACATTGTGTCTGTGATGATCAAACACTGAACATTGTGTCTGTGATGATCAAACAGTGAACATTGTGTCTGTGATGATCAAACAGTGAACATTTTGTGTCTGTGATGATCAACCACTGAACATTGTGTCTGTGATGATCAAACACTGAACATTGTGTCTGTGATGATCAAACACTGAACATTGTGTCTGTGATGATCAAACACTGAACATTGTGATTGTGATGATCAAACACTGAACATTGTCTGTGATGATCAAACAGTGAACATTGTGTCTGTGATGATCAAACAGTGAACATTTTGTGTCTGTGATGATCAAACACTGAACATTGTGATTGTTATTATCAAACACTGAACACTGTGTCTGTGATCATCAAACACTAAAGATATTGTGTCTGTGATGATCAAACACTGAACATTGTGTCTGTGATGATCAAACAGCGAACAATGTGTCTTTGATGATCAAACACTGAACATTGTGATTGTGATCATCAAACACTGAATATTGTGTCTGTGATCATCAAACACCAAAGACATTGTGTCTGCCATGATCACACACAAATATGGTGTTAGAGCATATAAATGACTGTGGTTCAATAGCTGTTACTTGCTTCATAATATTTGTTTGTGTCGTAGATGTTAATTCGAAAAGTATCAACACAAGAAATGTCTTTGGTTTCACACATAGCGTCACATTAAATGTACCCCCTCGATCATGTTAATATGTGCTACAACTGGTGGGGCTCGGTTGGTCATTGGATATACATTTGGTGCAACCTAGCAGTTATTGGTCACAATTAGTACCGGTAACTACCCATTATGATACTTGTTAGAAATAACATGCAATTAAATATCATGAATGACTTATTTAGCATTTGCTGATACCTTAACATTTGCTTAATGGTTTTGTTACATTAACCGTATCCTCAATGTCATGATACAATACAGTGGAACCCATTGCCTCGGCCTTATTACCGTCTGACTTAGCCATTAGGAAACAAACATACCTCATCATGCATGTTCTGTTAGAATATATTATGGAATACTAAATAAAAAAGAATCATTCTACATCTAAATGCATTTTCTTCATATAACTGGATTATCAATTTTGGGATCAACATATCGGGTAAGTTTCAACCTTTTTATTTTATCTCTTGGGGCTATAAATTGAATTTTTCACATCCAGTTCGACACATTCGGGTTAAAATATTGATAAGACAGGACTGTGAGTTTGACACAAATGAAGCTACCATATAAGCAAAAGTAACATTGCCTACAGATAATTTGTCAGTCATTACCTTTTGCTGCAATCCATTAGTCTCCCTGCTCGGGTAATTGCCTTTACAGAGCTAAAGATAAGCTTTGGGCATTTTACCCAGGGGTTTGATTTTGATTGGGTATCCACAAGATTTAGAGGGTATTTAAAAACATAGGTATTTACCTACCCGCTGTTTCTTCACAAGTGGGTATTTAACTTAAAACTTGTTTTGTAACAATCCCTGTAAATCATTTAAACTATGTGAATAGTAATATACTGTATCTGCGTCTACTTGGGGCTCCCTCTCCGGGAAGCCATTTTTTTGGTGTTTATTTGTATAGTTCTTAAATCACCAATCAGCGACTACTTAAGATACAACATGTATATTGACTAGGCACGATGTGCTTTTCAATTGGCATCTATCAGTATGTTTGTTGCAGAAGCTTTTCCGAATGTAACTGTTGGTAAGTGAATATGGCAATCAGCTGATACACAATCATTTTATCAAATGGTTATAATATACACATTAATTATATTTCAAAAGCGTATTTATAGATACGCTGGGATTTGATTTATCTGCGTATTTCAGTTTATTTTATGCATATTTTACGCAAATATGCAGCTTATCTCGAGCTCTGCCATTATCAGAGGGGAGCTACTGTGGTCTATGTCACGTTTGTTTAGAGTCATAAAGTTTCACAACAGGATAACAAAGTGCAGTGAGATGCCCCGCACAGCGACAAAACGAAAGAAGGTAAACTTTCGAGCGTATTTCGAAAAAAATCCAACTTTATTTCATTCAGGAAAACACTCCAAGCTGCACACGTCTAACCGAGCACCCTTATGGGAATTAATATCCCAACCCTCCTCCCTAAATGTCTTCACAATTTATATCTCCAAAATTGTCTATAATTGCGAAAGGCCTCAGCTTCTCCCTCCCCAAATGTCATTTTAGACTTAATCGCTACAGACAAGGGCGATGCCATATTTGTATGTTAACATTGAAATTAGTAGCTACCAGGTCTTCTATAGTTGCATATTTGTCCACAAATGATCCCAACAGATACCTTGGCTTTATCCTGCAGAGAAACTTAAGCTGTATATGCTAAATCCTAATATCTATTCTATTTTATTTTAAAATGATTATATATGTATATATGTACTGCAATCAATCGAAAATGATGAAGCCGAACACCACAAAAAATTCAGGTTTTCTTATGGCAGATTATTGCCGACAGAGGAAGAAACCAGTATCAAAAGATCCTAATGCTGAATCAGTTTTAAAATATGTTTAAAAAATCCAAGAAATCCAATAATATGTATCACAGCATAATATATATGTATGGCCAATACTGGTACTAATTAAAAAACAAAGTGTATTTCAGGATATGAATCTGAAGCTTCAGAAGAACAAGGTGAATCCCAGCTTGTACGCTATTGGTTCTCCAGCATGGCATACATACGATGAATCATTACACCCCTATGTATTACCACTATATAACAAGGTGAATCCGAGCTTGTACGCTATTGGTTCTCCAGCATGGCATACATACGATGAATCATTACACCCCTATGTATTACCACTATATAACAAGGTGAATCCCAGCTTATACGCTATTGGTTCTCCAGCATGGCATACATACGATGAATCATTACACCCCTATGTATTACCACTATATAACAAGGTGAATCCCAGCTTGTACGCTATTGGTTCTCCAGCATGGCATACGTACGATGAATCATTACACCCCTATGTATTACCACTATATAACAAGGTGAATGTTGTAATATATTGTGAGTGAGAATATTGAAGCTTGGTATATTTTGATATATTATCATGATCTTTGTCATGATTGTTTTGCTGTCACACACCATTGGTAGCCAGTTCACTTCCACACAAATACAGGGTCTTGGATTATATCCTCTCCGACCAGGACAATAGCCTCTCTCTGAACCTCTAACTCGCGCTTACATGTGCTCAGGATACACTGTTACAGTATAATACAACACAAAGCAGTTATCACTCCACTGGCAATATGGAGCAACAATGTCACGTGACAAATGAAGCACACATAGGCCACACAATGGGCAGCCTGGCAGTGGGACCTACAGATACTGATCAGGGCCCACTTGCACAAAGTGATCTTAGCACTAAGACTATCGTAAGCGTATGTTAGAGAATGGGAGTTACAATCATCTTAGCGCGAAGATCGCTTTGTGCTAGTGGGCCCAGGGGATAAAGTAGGGGATCAGTATGTTCTGTCTGACTCAGTGCTAACTACAACAGCCTCACCGACGACAGTGTCCACTTTGTTTGAGATGTTCTTGCTCAGTGAGTGACTGAGTGAGTTGGATTTACACCACTTCAACTGACAGTTACTATATATCTTATCAGCATGATGCGGGGGGGAACCCACACTGGCCAAAAGGATGCAGGTCTTACTCATGTTACCAGATAATGCTATTTGATAGTGGAACCCCATGGGCGAATGAATGTTATTTTATGTCACAGTTAGCAATATATATTTCAACTATATCATACAGCCACCCCCCTAAAAACATGAGTCTGACTAGACTAAGCAAGATCAACAATCATGCAATCAGCACACTCACCAAGCCAGACCACACTGTCCTTACTACAGTGTATAGCATGGAGTACGATTCTGACCTGCAATCCCCACAGTGGAATATTATGGGTTTATATAATCTAAGGGACGCGACTCTGCACACAATAATCTGTTCACACATCACCATTTAGCATTCTTTCGCAACACCAACCTAAAATGACAGTGTGTAACTTTTACACATCAGTCATCATTACAATAATATGATCATGATGGGAATGTTTCAACATGTGGGTGTGAAGTCGTACAGTCTACTTCACAAAATTGTAGGAAAAGAAGTTTTTTCATTGACATCAACTTAATTCAAGCAGAAAAACTTGGCAGTAATACTTAAGTTTCCCATATATATATATATATGTTTTCTCTGGATTAGAACATATTTTAAACTTAATTCACGACACATATATATATCCATTATTCCGACTTGCAGGGAGTTAATTCTTTATGTCATTTTCCACTTTTTGTCCGAAACTGTAGACAAAACGTTTACATCATGTTGAAAATACTTGACAACATGATGTTCATTTGACATGTTGCTATGGACCTGCACAAGAGCAATGAAAATAATCAACCACTTGGAAGGAACAAGTCACTCAGAAGAAAGTAAACATTGTAATACTTCCCTACATCAATGCCCCAGGGGTGACGTGATTCCAATCAACTCACTTACTTTACCCCATTCTTGTGACAACATGAATGTCCTGCATGTCCAAGAAGTGACTCATCCACAAACAAAAAAACTACTTAATACGTATCTTAATGACAAAAAAACTTTACCTTCTTGGATGCTTTCAATTTCATGCCCTGGCCTGACTTTGAATGTTTTCGCCCAGGGATCTTAGGCAAATACATGCTTGCCTGGGAATTCTGAAGAATTTTCTTCTTATTTGGAGCTCGAGGTGATCTCAGTTCATTTTTTTCCAGTCTCATTCCATATCCAGAATCTTTAGATTCAGACATTCCTCCTTCCGACCCTCTAGAATCTGCATAAATATCATCGCACATGTGTGTATCATAGTGTTTGTTAACCAGCCCAGAAACATGTGTCCCCTGGTCGTCCATCTGTCCATCCATTTGTCCATCATGATCCATGACCGACATGGAAGACAACATACTGTCCCCCTGGGGACTTGGCGCCAGGACTTCCGAGGTCCTGGGGATCTTCTGCTCATGTTGAGAGATTCCTAGTCTTGGAGCTCCTACATTCATGATGTCCATGACTTGAGCCAAGTTTGGGTTAGGTTGGCTGTTGTCAAATTCTTCTTGTTCTTCATTGGGTTTTATGTATTGGTCCCATCTGAAAAGTCAAAGTAAGTAACAGATGAGGCATAAACACCAGACTTAGTAAAAAAGTAAAAGGTTTGTTTGTACGCACACAGCTGTACTAAATAGTGTATGCCCTGACAAGTCTTGTTTATGATGTTTCTTATAACAGTTTGAAATTATTCCGCAGATCTTGGATGGTTCAGTAAATGGTTGCTTAATGCCCATGTATATACATGTGTAATGATAGGTTTGCTATCAACATATGGCACGTGTGGCATTTAGATTCTTTATCATTTTGTTTACTTTTCAGACACTATTGTTACATAAAGGGGTAATTGCATATAATATGTTTAATGTCTACTGTCACTATGAACATCTGTGCTTGCTTTAAATCATAAGATCGAAATCATAATCATATTATAATAAAATAATTCCAACAATCAAGTGTTGTATCTTCTCTACTTTGTTAAACATATTAAGAAAAACCTCGGTCAACATTGATATTTATCACAGACTACTAAGATATAAAGCATTTCAAAATGAAACAACGTTGCTATATGTTTATAAGTTACCATAATCATAATTATTATTACTAGCATTTGTCATATGTATGTAGTAGTAATAGTAGTAGTAACTCTTTCATAAAAAAAACTCATTTGACGCGTGTTAGACCACACATACACGGTAGTAAACAAACTCCTTCAGCTGTAAACACTCAGGATGCGGTCTGTAAATATTAGACAGCCCACCTGATTCAAGTGTTACTTAAATAATAACAATGTCCAAATGTCCCTCTCACAATCACATTAAATAAAAGGTTATATACTTCACTCTCGACACGTTGAATACTAGATATATGGATATCGTTCACAACTGCGCTTCATTCACCACATAAACTCATGGCACCGTCCAGTTCTGCACGTAGTGACCTATCGCGACCGCCCAAGCGTGCAACTGCCTGAAACAATCTCAAGAGTGATTCCTACAAAAGTAGTCACTAATTCTCATCCTGAATATAGAATTGAATAATTTCAAACATCACCAACCTTTTCACAAAGCCACGCACATGAGCAGACCATCTTTTCACTGATCATTTCTTCTCGGATAATTTTCTTCCGTTGGCAGGCACGCTTTCTCCACACGCATGCGCACTTGGCCTGACAATATCGCACGCGAGGGAAAGGAAGACATTCGATATGTCAGTTGCTAATCTTACTGGCACACATTGCAGAATATTTATTACGGCCATTATTTGCTCATTGAAAGTGTATAGACGTTGATTTATTAATATCCCCAGATCCATATTACTTTAAACTGCACGGACCTGATTTATATAGCTTTACTAAAACTTTTTTTCCAATACACGTGATTAGTGATTGGCTATAAATTGCCAATGCAGGAGAATAACCACTCAAGCTTATCCGCCGAACAGATTCCATTTTGGCGTAAAGGGCTATATAGCTGTGAAAATTAGTGGACCACTGATAATTAGTGATGACACCAGGTTGTTCGCGAAAAGGGGTAAGTATGTCATGCCCCACCGGTAGCACCCGCCATTCCCACAAATTAGCATAAAAGGTAAGTATTTATTGTCTGACGCCCTACAGCAGTACCCCTGCCAGGCGACGGCGGCCTGTAAACAAACCAGACAATCCAGTGACACGATGGTGTATTTACCGATTTTGTTGATACTAACTTAAACGATTTGCTGATTTTGAATTGTGTACAAATGCAGAATTTCTGCTGCTTATAAGTGAAAAAACGTTTAAGAAATATTTTCGTTTTGCAAACATTTCGGAGGGGAAAGGGGTGGAGGAGGGCAATTTGTTATGTCTGGGCCCAGGCAGGAGGCTATGTCCCCGGGGGAAGGGAGTAAACTGGACTTGTCCCTAGGGGAAAGGAGTAAACTGGACTTGTCCCCGGGGGAAGGGAGTAACCGGACTTGTCCCGGGGGGAAGGGAGTAAACTGGACTTGTCCCCGAGGGAAGGGAGTAAACTGGACTTGTCCCGGGGGAAGGGAGTAAACTGGACTTGTCCCGGGGGAAGGGAGTAAACTGGACTTGTCCCCGGGGGAAGGGAGTAAACTGGACTTGTCCACAGGGGAAGGGAGTAAACTGGACTTGTCCCCGGGGGAAGGAAATACACTGGACTTGTCCACAGGAGAAGGGAGTAAACTGGACTTGTCCCGGGGGAAGGGAGTAAACTGGACTTGTCCCGGGGGAAGGGAGTAAACTAGACTTGTCCCTGGGGGAAGGGAGTAAACTGGACTTGTCCCCAGGGGAAGGGAGTAAACTGGATTTGTCCCGGGGGGAGGAAATAAACTGGACTTGTCCCCGGGGGAAAGAAGTAAACTGGACTTGTCCCGGGGGAAGGGAGTAAACTAGACTTGTCCCCGGGGGAAGGGAGTAAACTGGACTTGTCCCGGGGGAAGGGAGTAAACTGGACTTGTCCCGGGGGAAGGGAGTAAACTGGACTTGTCCCCGGGGGAAGGGAGTAAACCCGGGACTGTCCACAGGGGAAGGGAGTAAATTTGACTTATCCCCGGGGGAAAGGAATAAACTGGACTTGTCCCCGGGGAAAGGGAATGAACTGGACTTGTCCCGGGGGAAAGAAATAACCTGGACTTGTCCCCGGGGGAAGGAAGTAAACTGGACTTGTCCCCAGGGGAAGGGAGTAAACTGGACTTGTCCCCGGGGAAGGAAGTAAACTGGACTTGTCCCGGGGGAAGGGAGTAAACTGGAGTTGTCCCGGGGTAAGGGAGTAAACTAGACTTGTCCCCGGGGGAAGGGAGTAAACTGGAATTGTCCCCGGGGGAAGGGAGTAAACTGGACTTGTCATGGGGGAAGGGAGTAAATTTGACTTATCCCCGGGGGAAAGGAATAAACTAGACTTGTCCCCGGGGAAAGGGAATGAACTGGACTTGTCCCGGGGGAAAGGAATAACCTGGACTTGTCCCCGGGGGAAGGAAGTAAACTGGACTTGTCCCCGGGGGAAGGAAGTAAACTGGACTTGTCCCCGGGGGAAGGGAGTAAACTGGACTTGTCCCGGGGGAAGGGAGTAAATTGGACTTATCCCCGGGGGAAAGGAATAAACTGGACTTGTCCCCGGGGAAAAGGAATGAACTGGACTTGTCCCGGGGGAAAGGAATAACCTGGACTTGTCCCCGGGGGAAGGAAGTAAACTGGACTTTTCCCGGGGGAAGGGAGTAAACTGGACTTGTCCCCGGGGGAAGGGAGTAAACTGGACTTGTCCCCGGGGGAAGGAAATAAAATGGACTTGTCCCCGGGGGAAGGGAGTAAACTGGACTTGTCCCGGGGGAAGGAAGTAAACTGGACTTGTCCCCGGGGAAAGGAATAAACTGGATGTGTCCCCGGAAAAAGGGAATCAACTGGACTTGTCCCGGGGGAAAGGAATAACCTGGACATGTCCCCGGGGGAAGGAAGTAAACTGGACTTGTCCCCGGGGGAAGGGAGTAAACTGGACTTGTCCCCAGGGAAAGGGAGTAAACTGGACTTGTCCCGGGGGAAGGGAGTAAACTGAACTTGTCCCGGGGAAAGGGAGTAAACTGGACTTGTCCCCGGGGGAAGGGAATAAACTGGACTTGTCCTGGGGGAAGGGAGTAAACTGGACTTGTCCCCAGGGAAAGGGAGTAAACTGGACTTGTCCCGGAGGAAGGAAGTAAACTGGACTTGTCAACAGGGGAAGGGAGTAAACTGGACTTGTCCCGGGGGAAGGGAGTAAACTGGACTTGTCCCGGGGGAAGGGAGTATACTGGACTTGTCCCCGGGGGAAGGGAGTAAACTGGACTTGTCCCGGAGGAAGGAAGTAAATTGGACTTATTCCCGGGGGAAAGGAATAAACTGGACTTGTCCCCGGGGGAAGGAAGTAAACTGGACTTGTCCCAGGGGGAAGGGAGTAATCTGGACTTGTCCCGGGGGAAGGGAGTAAACTGGACTTGTCCCCGGGGGAAGGTAATAAACTGGACTTGTCCCCGGGGGAAGGTAATAAACTGGACTTGTCCCCAGTAGCCGTTCCACTTACTTACTAACTTAGACATTTACACTTACATTCGCAGCTACGTGGATTACTGTCGTGTGGAAGATTAGGAGAGGTAATCATGAATGGCATCATACAAATGTGATATCAAACCCAGTGTGGCTTTTAAAAAAATACACTCTTCAATCTTCAGACAGTTACATTAAATAGGGGCACATCCATGCAGCTATCCTAATCTTTGAGCGGTATATCTGGATAAAACACTGCAGGTATCCTAATTGTGGAGCGGAATATCGGGATAAAGGACTGCAGGTATTCTAATTGTGGAGCGGAATATCGGGATAAAGGACTGCATGTATTCCAATTGTGGAGCGGAATATCGGGATAAAGGACTGCATGTATTCCAATTGTGGAGCGGAATATCGGGATAAAGGACTGCAGGTATCCTAATTGTGGAGCGGAATATCGGGTTAAAGGACTGCATGTATTCTAATTGTGGAGCGGAATGTCGGGATAAAGGACCGCATGTATTCTAATTGCGGGGCGGAATATCTGGTTAAAGAACTGCATGTATTCTAATTGCGGAGCGGAATATCGGGTTAAAGGACTGCATGTATTCTAATTGTGGAGCGGAATATCGGGATAAAGGACTGCATGTATTCTAATTGTGGAGTGGAATATCGGGTTAAAGGACTGCATGTATTCTAATTGCGGAGCGGATCATCATATACATTACTTAGAAGTTGACGGATGACAAAGTAGAGATAATTTATTGATAACAAGTTCTTTATTTACTGTAAAGGCGACGTTTCGGTGCAGATCCTTATAAGGCTGTCAAACATAGGATACCAACAACTGTGGCAGCCCCATTTCCAAGCATACAGTTTTCAAGCGTCTTGAAGTTCAGATTCTTTTCACTATATTTGCCACACCATCTGACGGGTCGACAACAGCAGATTGATGTACTGTGTATTGTCCCACTGTGCTGTCTGCGTGATCTATAATCCGCTGTCGTGACGGTGAGGCATTGGAAGATTGCAATTTCCCCAGACCGAGCTCCACGCCGTGTTGTTCGCCATGATGCAAGCAGTGCGTGTATGTCCTGGTCGGCAGCGCTACGTCAGAGAACCGCTTGTTTGATACAGGCTGTACTTGTGGTGCATGTTGCCAGGAGATGCCAGTGGCTAGACTGACACGCAACGTTTTCATTGCTTACCAGATTTTTTTTATATATATTTTTTTTTAATGACAGATTCGATTCCGTCTTCCTTGTTATGATGACTGCGGAAATATTACTTTATTTTAGAGGTTTTGCAGTTATATTCGAGAACCCCTTTGACCGGAACAACCTCCTAATATTTAATTATTGAATAAACTATATGAATATAGATATCATATGAATGGAGCGATAATGCATATATTTAGAATATATTTAATGAAGAACAATATTACTGTAGGAAAACGAAATCCCGAATTTCTCGTCGTAAATGTGCACATTTCTTGAAGTAATACAAACTTCAAAATATTTGAATAGAAAAAAGACAAAACATTTTCGTTAAGCTGTAATGTGGTGACGAATACCAAGCTACGATCTAAGCTTATAATACAGAATGAGATTCACGTCATAAGGCTATTGACTGAAACTGGTATATGTGGTTTACTTGTGTCAGACTAGATCTTGGAGTTTCATGACCCTAGTGGTTCTATCCTAGTCTCACAGCTCCTGTATACTGTTGACGGTCAAAAGGGATATGCAGAATGTTGATCTTATGAATTTGTTAAGAAAATATTTATGGAATCGCATCCAGGGGGTAAATCCAAAACTTTAAATTTATGACGGTTAAATAATCCCAAATGAAGTAGATTACGGCTGAAACGAGGCGGACACATTCCTCTGAAATCTCACATGGCAAGCCAACGTGGCGGAGCTAAGCAGCTCCTTGAAGCTCCTCACATATTGAAATTATTAGTTGGTACCAACTTTACCCCGATATAACGCATTTCCTGACATCATCTGTAGTGTTTTAGAAAACTTGTGCTATTATTGACTAAATGTTTCCTTTACTTTATAGTTCTCGAGACACTTATCTAAATTATAGCATTGACTCGCAATAATCAGGCCTGAATAGCGTAATATCGAGGTAA